TCAGCCCAGAGCACATGGGGCTGAGCACAGAAGTGCTGCCCGCAGTTGTGGGGTCAGGGGCAGGTTCGTGTGGGGACGCAGAGTGCTGGTGATGGGGTGGGAGGAAGGTGAGAACGGGCAGGCGTGGGTGGGTGTTAGAGTGCCCGCGGAAGCCAGGGCAGAGGGATACACAGCCTTTACTGCCAGTCAATGGACCATGAAGAGGGTGGCCGGGAGGTCAGGATTTGGGCAGCATGGTTGGGCTCTGTAATGGGAAGTGAAGGGACCCTGTGGGCTGTGAGCATTGAGACCCTTGACCCCAGTGTGTCTTTGTGACTTATCTCCACCACCTGCTCAGGCTCTGAATGCCAGGCACAAGTCACCCTTTCATCCCACCTCTACCACCTCTCCCCCACCCCACCCCACCCTCCATGTCTCATGTTCTGCACCCAGTGGCCGTCAAGTGGACCCTGAGTCCCAGCAACTCTCCTGAGTGTCCAAGTGTGTCAGTGTGTCCCATAGAATTTTTAATGGCTGATTTTTCGGAAGACGATTACCAGGTTTTTCTTGTGAGCGCCCCTAACCTTTAGGTTAGCAACCAATGGCCAGCCGTGCTCACGGCCTCCCCCAGTGTCCACTTCTCATGGGGTTTCTGAAAGTCCGGAATCAATGGATATGCTCTGTGGCTGATGCCTGGCTGACCAGTTTCCCAGCCTCCTGAGGGTGGGGGTGGGGGTGGAGGGTATCCCAATCCCTCTCGGGCCAGTGGATGGCCAGGGGGCCTGGTCTGCGCCAATGCCGCTCTCTCAGGCTGGCATTTCTCTGTCCCACCATCGCCCTCAGGCACAAGAGGGTCCTCGGCTTGTTTCCAGGGGGTCTGGGGGCTGCTCCTGCCCTAGTGAACACGCGGTTCCCGATCTACATTCCGTTTAAATAGCCACGTCCCACTCTGCCTTGTAAGGAGCCCTGGTAGCATAGTGGTTATTGCATTGGGCTGCTCACCAGCAGGTGGGCAATTTGAAAGCACCAGTCACTCCTTGGAAGAAAGATGGGGCTTTCTACTCCTGCAGAGTTAGTCTGGAAGCCACAGGGCCTTGTGGGGCAGTTGTACCCAGCCTGAAAGGGTTGCTATGAGTCGGAATTGCTCAATGGCAGAGAGGGGGTCCTGGTGGCACTGTGGGTTCAGCATTAGACTGCTCGCCAAGAGGTCAGTGGTTCAAATCCACCAGCCATTCTGGGGGAGATGGATGAGGCTCTCCTGCTGGGTCCTGTAACACTGTGAATCACGCAGTGGGTTTGGCTTTCTGCATTTTACTCGATAGGCTGGTCCAGGTCTCTGGTCTGGGTGTGTATGACCCTTGGCTGGGCCAATGGGAGCAGAACCAGGGCAGGGACCTGGCCAGGTATGGCGACTGAGAAGGGGATGTGGGTCGGGGTACGGTGGCGCTGGGGTCTGGGCAAGCTGCTGCGAGGACCACAGACAGGTACTGTTGCTACTCTCCTCCCTCACCCCCAGGACTATGCGTGCAGCTGGGCGGACAGACGCAGGGTACCGTGGGCCCACACGTGGCAATCCTTTTCAGGGACACAGAGCACGCCCCTGCCCACCACCACGCTCACCCACTGCCTTTGACACACCCACCCGCTGGTCAACCCCGCCCCCGCCACACCCAGTTGTGGCTGTGCCCACCTTCTGCCACACCCATATGCTGTCATCACACCTTCCCGCCTCTTTGCCAGCCCACCACCACGCCCACCCACCACCCTGCCCGCCGGCCCCTGCCGGGTGGGCGGGTCTTAATGTTTAGGAGAGCAGGCAGACCCACCTGTCCAAGACCGCACCGCGCGGAGGAGTCGGACCTGGGCTTTTGCGGACTCCCCCGCCGCTCCAAACTCAAACTCATCACAGATCGATTCCAATCACAGAGACCCAACAGGGCAGAGTAGACGGACTGCTGTGCGTTTCTGAGGCTGTCAGCCCACCGTAACCCGTGTCCGCGATGTCCCCCTCTCCCCCCGCCGCCACCGCCATGCCACCCCGGGCAGTCCTGGAACGCTGCGCTAAATCTGGCGGAGCCAGAGGCGCCCGGGCGAGCACACCTCTCCACTCCAGCCCCGCCCCCAGGAGCTCGACCAGAGGCAGGGGGCTTTTGGACACCCAGAGACCTGAGGGGGCCGAGGGGGCCTGTGCGGAGCTCTGGACTGCCGACTTGCCCCACACCTGGAGCAGTGCCCTTGGAGGCCCTGAAGGAGGGGCCTGGGGTGCTAATTGGTCCGGGAGAGCACAGGCTAATTATCGGTGTCCCCAGAGTATATTAGCCAGCCCTGGGGCACCGCAGTGGGGGAGCCCTTGGGACTCCAGCAGCGCCTGGCCATGTCCTTGGCGAGCAGGAAGGCTGGCATCACCTCTGCCTGCCTCCGTGCGTGCAGCCCCTTGCTCCTGGGCCGGCGCTGTTTGACCCCCAACCCCTCACCGAGTCCGGGTTCATGCCCACTTCTGGTCTGCGCCCCGTTCCGTCCTGTCCGCCCGCAGGGGCTCAGGGCATCATCAACAGCGGATTGATCCCGTCGCTGGTGTGGAAGCTGCAGCGAGAAGAGCATGAGTCCGTCCAACTGCTCATCCTGGACACTCTGTCATCCTGCCTGTGGGAGGGCGCGGCCTCCGAGGCCCTGGACAACCGGGTGGTGCCCTTTCTCAAGGAGATGCTGCTGAGTGCCAACGAAGACATCCGGGCCAAAGCCGCCCACACCCTCATGGCTGTCTGGTGAGGCTAAGAGCCCTGCCCTTCCCCCTGGGGTGACTGGAGCAGGGCCCAACGCTGCCCAGGTCCTAGGCCCACCACCCTCATTTCCTGGGCTTCAGGTTGAGTCAGGATGAGAAGTGACCTCAGGCGTCCCTGCAAGTGAGGGACTTTCCCACAAGGGGCCACCCCTGGCTTCACCCTGAGACCTCCCTGTGTTTCGTGCCCTGGTTTGAGACTAGGGGGCACACGCCTCGTCTCTTTCCCTGAAACCATGTGTGGGCCCCCGGGCCTGAGGCCACGGCCAGCGCTGGCCCATAGGCAGGGTCCCCATCAAACATCTTCCCTTGGGCGGTCCCCATGCAGTGTCCCTCTGGATGGCAAGAACCAGGTGTGGCAGTACGACGTCATCCCCATCCTGGTGCATATGCTGAAGGACCCGATGCAGGAGGTGCAGGCCAATGCCGCTGGGGCCCTCATGTACGCCACCATCACCACAGAAGGTGAGGTCCCCCAGGAGGCCCTGGGGCGGAGCGGCCAGAGGGTGTGAGCCCAGGAGGGGGGCCAGCACATTCACCATCATCTCTCTCTGGCTTGGAGCCCCGAGGGCTCCCCCACTTACACACTGTGTCCCCACCAGCTGCCCCCCACCCCCTCACTCTGGCATCTGTGCCCAGGCCTCTAACCGAGGCCCCTCCTAGGAGTCTGGGCCTGATCCTGCAGCCTACCACAATTCTGGAGGCCACGCGGACCCTCGGGCGGACCCTTCATGCTCTGCTTTTCACATGTCGAGGACACACCGAGCCGCATCAAAGAGCTGGAGGGACAATGCCAGTGTTGCCAGCCCTTTCCCACCACCGGATGCCCCCCTGGTGCACCACATGATGTTTAGGGGTTCACCATCCCTCACCTGTGCGCTTAGGCTCTGTAGAGCCCCGCCAAAGCATTCCACCAGACTCTCCATCATCATAAACAGAAACCCATCGTAAAATTACTCTGCCCAGTAGAGGGATGTGGGTCCCCATCCCCCATCCTGGTCTTCCTTCAGCCTGCCACCCTGCAGGCTTCAGCGGTGTGCCACACGGAGACCTGTGTCCTTCTCTACCTGGGCAGCCGAGGAAAGGCCCCAGGGGCCAGGACCCCAGCCAGGAGACAGAGGCATGTGGGTGGCCTCTGAGCCTTGGCCTGGGCTGGCCTTGAGATGGGCACTGGACTCTCAAATGTGGCAGCAGCATGATAAGGGACAGAGGGTGGCCTGTGATGGGAACACAGACCTCCCAGGGACACCAGCACTGCTGTGCGACCGACCTGTAATGGAGACATATAACGGGGTTAGACCCCAAAGACTTGGGGCATGGGTGGGGTGGGGGCCTGTGATGGGGGCGTATAGGGGAAACAGACCCCCAGGACATGGGGGTGGAGAGGCTGTGTGGCCTGTGATGGGAGTCCGAAGCAGGGGCAGACTCCAGGGACAGGGGCGTGGGAAGGCAAGATGTGGCTGTCACTGATTGTCCGGCGGCTTGCAGGGAAGTATGCAGCCCTGGATGCCGAGGCCATGCCCCCGCTGCTGATGCTGCTCAACTCAACTTTGAGCAAGGTGCGCCTCAACGCCATCAAGGCCCTCACCATGCTGGCCGAGGCCCCGGAGGGCCGCAGCTACCTGCAGGCCCATGTGCCCGTCTTCCGACTCATCGAGGATGACCCGAACCCGGCTGTGCAGCAGGCAGCCCTAACGGCCATCAAGGTCATCGAGTGGAAGCCCTGAGCCACCCCCTGAATAAATGGGTCAAGCCCCTTCATTTTGGTTGGAGTGGCTGTTTCCCTTTTCCTCCTGCCCAGGGGAAACGGGGCCTGAGGGCAGGTGCCCAGCAGGCCAGGCCTGTGGGTCCAACCCCAGGGTGCCCTGGGAGCAAACACTGGGCTCACAGGCCTGGGAAGAGTGTAGAACTACCCACTCAGGGAGGAGCAGGTGAGCCTGAGCCCTGGAGTAGGGGCCAAGCCCTGGGTGTTGGTGGGGGGCAGGGGGGCAGGTGAGCCCAGGAGTTGGACTAGGCACAAGCCCAGCTTCAGACATATGCTGTTTCAGGTCCTCCTGAGTGGCCAGGAGGGAGGTCAAAGGGGCAACTCCATTCTCAGATCAGGGCTAACTTTCACATTTCCTTGTTAAGATCTTTCTCCAAATAGTGATGTCCTTCCCCTATGCACAGATGTGGCCTGTCAGGAGCCCTGGTTGGCCTGAAGCTGACCACAGTCCCCTCCCTGCCCAGGGCAGGCCTGGCACACTTCTCTTACTACCTTGGAGCGATAAGGATGCTGAAGGCGGGGTGGGGGTGGGGCCGCTGAGTGGAAGGAGCAGGCTGTTATGAATGAAATTGTGTGATTGTGTTTGTATCCCAGCCCCCTCCCCCGCTTACAAATTCTAATCTCTATTTGCCTGTGGCCCTAACCCCATTTGAGATTGGTGGTCTTTGTTATGTTAATGACACAGAGTCAGTGGGAGGTGCATTTAGAGTCAGTCTCTTTTGAGATAGGAAAGAGATTCCACAAGTACACTGAGACCCAAAGATGGGGACAACAGATGCCCAGCTGCATGAAGACCGGCTGGGAGCAGCAGCTCCCAAGACCAAGACCTTTCTTCAGATCCCGCAGAGGACACCTTCCCCGGGAGCGGGCACCCTGAAGTCCGACTCCGGTCTCTTCTGTGGTGCAAAAAACAATTTCTTTTTGTCAAAGCCCCCCTCCTGTGGTATTTCTGTGTTAGTAGCTCGTGACAGCTCAGGTTTGGGTTTCAAGAGCGGGCTTGCTGCTCCAACTAAGATCTAAACTGTAGAGGTGGTTTGGGGACTGGGTGGCAGCTGGCAGGGAGAAGCAAGCAGAATGGGGTCTGGTTCCCACCACAAAGAGGAGCCAGGGGCACAGGGTGTTCTTTGGACCGGGAGTCCCTGTGCTGAGGGCCTTCTAGACCCAAGGGGAGATTGCTGCCCAGACCTGGAGATGACCAAGGAATGTTGGGCCTAGAGTGGCTGAAAGGAGGTAAGGACCTTCAGAGAAGAGTCTTCCCCTGAAACTGGCAACCTGAGTGTGAACATAAGCCTTCTCAGCTGTGAGAACATGCATCTGTTTGTTAAGGCCACTCACTGGTGAATTTTTGATTACAGCAGCACCAGATAGCCAAGAGGGGGCTGAGCTGGGAGAGGAGGCGTTGAGGAAAGGGTGTGAGGAGGGAACTGGGCTGCAGTGGGCAGGGAACAGGGTGGTGAGGTCCTATGCCAACCTGGTCTGGTGAGGTGGTGGGTGTCCTAAGAGGTGCACGTCAGAACGGGTTCTGTGGTCTGTGGAGGAGCGGCAGAGCCTCTCCAGCCCCTCGCCCTCCAGGACCCCCCCTCACATCTCTGCCAGTATAGCACCTGGGGGACAGAGCCCCCAGTTAGGGGGAGAGGAGGGAGGTGTGGGTCTCCTGGATGCCACCCTCATAGAAGTGACCCTGTCAGAACGAGACTTCCAAGTGAGCTCCTTCCTGAGTTCTTAAGGAGGGTCAAGGTCTTCGTCAGCCAGGAGCCCCACTGAGATGCTGCCCCTGCTGGGAAGACGTGGCTACTCTTGTTTTGGAAAGGACAGTGGCTGGGCCCCCGGCATGGCATTTCAGGTTAAATCTTCTCCAAAAAGGCAGGTAAGAGGAACCTTGTTTCTGTCTCCTGCAGAGAATCAGGTGCTCTCGGGCCCCACTTCAAGTCCCAATCTTGCCTCTCCCGGCAACAGGCCAATTCCATCCCACCACTTCCCCACAGGGCTCTAGTCCAGCTCATTGACCTCCCGTGCAGAGGGCCTGTCCTTGGTGCCCGAGGCAGCATGGATGGACCCTCTTTGCAGGCTCTAGCCACCCCTCCTCCCGTCTTCCTTATGGAGACCACGTGCCCTGCATGACCAGTGTTGGCGTGGCTCTCAGCTCTGCTCTGGGCCTTCTGCATGCAGGGCAGTGAATGTTTTAATGTGGGTCTTTCGGCCGAAGCCTTTGCTCCTCCCCCCAGACAACTGGGAGGGACGACTAACAGGGTGCGTGATGATCGCCACCCTGCTGGGTATAACATCAGCCAGCTCTGAAGCAGAAAGAAGAGAACTCAGGACCAGCAAGAGAGAAGAGCCAGGAGTGGAAGCGTGTCTTTTGGACCCTGGGGTCTCTGCCCATGGACCCTCCTTGATCCAGGAGACAGCTTTGACACCAGAGCAGCAGAAGAGCCACGAGCCAGAGGCGTGGGTTTCCCAGTCCACAGGGCAAGTAAAGCTGAGTGCTTTGGGGCAGGGGGCTGGTTTATGGAGTGGGGTGCCTCTGGGTATTGGAGCTGGGTGCCTTTGGGTGGAGGCTTACAGCAGAGTGGTGGGCTCTTTGGGCATTTATTGACAACACCAAAGGAGCTTTGTAACTTTGCCCCAAGGAGGGCAGGGACCAGGCCAAGGGGCTGACGGCCAGAAAGAAGCCTACCTGTGGGCACGGGCATGGTTTTACGTCAACTAGACGCTCTCGGCTATGCGTGGAGTCAAACCTGTCAATCAGGTCACAGCCTGACGATGCCTCTTTAGGGGTGGCCTTCTTTTCGGTGTGGGAAACTGGGACCCTCCTCTCAATGCCCCTCTGTCTTCCTGCTTGCTGGAACTCTGCCCGCCTCGAGGGAGACCCACACCAGCACAGAGAGCTGCCGGTACCCTGCTGTGCTCCCACCGACTTTGGATCCACTTGCCTCTGCACCTACTGGCCTGGGACCTTTCTGCGTCCTGGTTCGCCATTCTGTGTCACTGGACATGTGGCCACGTGGGTCTGAAGAGGGACTTGTGGACGAGCATCGGGCTTACAGACTTGAATAGGACCGGTCTGGGCTGCCTTCTTGATATAAAGCTCTCTTTGATCCTCAGCTGAATGCGACTCAATTGGGCTCTCTGGGCACCTGGAAATTTCTCAAGATGCACGTGGCCTACTCTGGTCTCCAAGCAGCAGGGAAATGAGGGGCTGGGGGTCCTGTACCCACAGCCCAGGGGGCACCAGGGTCCTGAAGGGAAATAGCCCCAAGGACCTCATTGCCCATGGAGCAGGGTCGGGAAGACCTCAGCCTGTCCTTCATGAAAAGGGACCGCCCTGCTGGCTGCTGGTCCCCATCAGGGCCCCAGTGTCTGCCCTAGTTGTCCCTGGGGCTGGAGAGTTGTTCTCACCATGCCAGCCCACGCCCTGGTCAGAGCTCACCCAGCTTGTGTGCTTGGCAGGCCGGCTCATCTGGGCCCCGGGTGCCACCCCCTGGAACCAAATGGGGGCACGGTGGGAAAATACGAGCCATACCCCAAACACACCTGGAGAGAAGAGGCCCAAATTAAATTTGAAGGGAAAGTGTTTACATGGCCAAGCCGTTGGGACAAAAAGACTCATTGCACATAGGAACACACGTCTGGTCTGTCTGCATAGCTTGGGCTGGCCACAGCGGGCGCCACTCCCCTCCCTCCAGCCGCTGTCCTGTGGCTGGCTCTGCACCCACCCCCACCCCGGCCACCCCCGGTTACCCTGGAGGCAGCTCCCTCCATCCTGGAAGCCAGCTGAGACCTCAGAAGAAGATGATGTGGCCCAGGACCAGAAGTACCATCAGCAGGATCTCGCTGGCCTGGAGCAGCTTCCTCCCCCAAGGGGTCTCCAGCAGTTCTCTTCGTTCGACCTTCTTGGTGACCAGCTCCTCGAGGATCAGGTCCCTGGGGATCAGCTCCCCGGGGATCATCAACCCGGGACTCAGCTCCCCGGGGCTCAGCTCCTTGGGGGTGGGCTCCATGGGGGCTAGCTTGGAGCTAAGCCTTGGCTCCAGCCCACAGAACAGTTCCCAGACCTTCCAGAGGCAGCCAGACTTCTCCCTGCTCATGCCTGCAATCGAAGGGACAGGTCATAGTCAGGGCCCCAGGTCTGGACCCGAAGGGTCGCCTCACAGGACAGCAGGTCCAGGGCTGGGGACACACCAGAGCGGGCAGGGCAGCAACAGGCTCACTCCAGGACCAGTGGCTGCTCCTCAGGAGACAAGCCTGGACAGCTGGAGGGCTCCCAGGAGCTCAGCTCCCTAGCACCACCTGGCGCCTGGGGCTGGCCCCGCTCCCGGGCTCTCTGGGTCAGACCTGACCATACCGCCCAGAGATGAGTGTGTCCCCTGCAGGGAATGCAAGCCAAGGACGTCCCAAGCAACCTGCCCTGGACTCAGAGTGACCACACTCTCACCTGGCTTGCAGGCCTGGAGAGGCTGCTGGGAGCTGGTCTAGGGCCAGGATATGGAAGTCAAGGGGCCCTAGGGGCCCCTAGGGTCTCTATGACAGGGCCAGTAACCGGACCTTCAGCCACTCTGGGACCAGCACACTAGAGACCAGCCAGCAGCACCTGGCATGGGTGTGCCACTTTTCCCACCAGCCCACTGTGGCATGAGGGGGAACTGAGAGGGCACCAAGGCCCAGTCACCCCCTCGGGGGAGCAGATAGCGTCCCCTGCCTCACCCCAACCTAGCTCCCTTCACCCTGCTCCTGCCCCTTCCCCAGACTCTGCTTGCAGGGTAAGCCCATTAGCCCTTTATCCCTGCCTGTGCCAGGTCTGCCAGTAGCTCAGGCTGCCTTCCCAAAGGCCCTCAGTGCTTTCTGCCGCCTCCAGTTGCTGGCCCTCCTCGGCCATGCCCGCCCACTCCCCACAGACCCTCACTGGTCACCCCCGGGACACTCGAGCACCGACTGACCCTTCTGCTTCCTCAGGCCCCTCGCCTTCCTTCTTTGGGGGTCTCAGCCCCTGGAGCCAGCGGGCTCTCCAACACGCACTGACTCTTCTGTCCCCTTCGCTCGAGGCAGCGTCTCCCTCGACCTGGCCACACAGACCTGGCCCCGCCCCAGGGGACCTGCACCCCTCACCAGAGCCCTGCAGCTCCCTCTCGGCCTTGCCGACCAGCTTAAAGCCCACCGTTCTTGAAGCTGCTGCTTCCCACAGTGCAGTGCTGCTCTGGAGAATTCCCAGAGTGGCTCTGGACGCCCGAATGTGCTCACAGGGACACAGCAGGCCTGTCCTTGGGCTCCAGTGGCTACCTTAGCATGAATCCCACCCCTCCCCCACCCCAGCTGGGCAGATGTGGTCCCCACTCTGACCCCAACCTATAGGCCCAGTCTGGATTATCCCGCCAGGATGCGGGCGGGCGGAGCAAGAACAAGGCCGGGCTGGGGCTCTGGAGCCAGCTCACCTAGCAGTGGTCTGCATTTGGGGGCGCACTTCTTCTGAGTCCAAATGTCCAGGTCCACCCTCTCCTCTGGGCTGTTCCGTAAACTCCAGCAGAGCCCGTGGAGCTGGGGGAAAGCAGGCTGTTCCAGGCAGGCCCCAAGGCACTGCCCAGCTGCTGCCACTGGCCTCCCCGATGTGGGGACAAGGACGAGGTGAGGCCTCTGCCCGGACTGGCAGCAGTGGCTGTGTGACCTCTGCAAAGGTGACAGCCATCTGGGCCTCTGTGTCCCATGTCCCTAGGCTATAGGAAGGAAGGGGGCTTGGTAGCAGCAAACTCAGGGCTCCTTCCAATTCCCAAAGGAAGTCACTCCTGGCTGGCCACAGACGGCAGGCCCAGTTGGGCAAAGGACATGAGGAGACCTTCACCACAGAGGATAGCCTAATGGCCAACCGGCATGCGAAGAAATGCCAGTGGAGAGATGCACATCACAACAGGGAACAGTGAGGAGCCAGGCCGACCAGCAAAGGACAGCCCATGCTGGACTGGCTGTGGACAGACTGGACCCTCCTCCACTGCTGGTGGGGCTGTCAGTATGTACAACCACCGTGGACAGTGTTATACCGCCACCCAAACAGCGGGGACTAGAAATTCCACATGATCCAGCAATCCTTCTGCTGGGTCCCTCCCCTAACGGAGGACGAGTCATAACACCAACAGACGTGAGCACACCTGCGTCTACTACAGCGCTGCTCACGATAAGGGCAGCTGCTGGAAACAACGGAAATGCCCTTCCGCAGAAGCACGGATTAAGAACCCATACACACACTGGAATAATCCAACCCAAACACAATCCAACTGCCCTTGAACCAGGGCTGTCTCCTAGCGAGCCTCCAGGACAGGGTAAACCGTCCCCGTGGGTTTCTGAAACCGTGACTCTGCCCGGGAGCAGAAAGCCCCGTCTTTCTCCCAGGGAGAGGCAGGTGGTGTCGAACTGCTGGCCTTAGGGTTGGCAGCCCCACCATGCACCCGTAGATAACAAGGGTGAGGCCACAAACTACCGCCTGGGGTGGACGGACTGGGAGAACATCGTGCTATGGGGAACTGGTCAGTCACAAAGGGACAAATACTGTATAGACCATGGGTCTCGGGGGAGATACATAAAAGACCAAGAGAAAGACATTCACCCCAAAGGGAACTGGGGAGACTGCCAAGTCGGGGGGCGGGCGGGGGGCAGAGGAGGCAATGGGCTGGATTGTGGACAGGCCTTCACTTGGGTGGAGTGGGAGACAGGAGTCCCCAGAGGGAGAGGAAGATCAAAGTTCGGATGAAGGGGAAACTATGGGGGGTTTTGATGAATAGTGTAAAGTTGATGATCTAAAATGGAAGCCCCCACCTAACTGACAATAGAAATGGGGGGAGGTGGAGAGGGGAGCGCCCAGAACTTGTGGGGTTGTTGTTTTCTCCTCTTCCGATGAACACAGATGGGTGCTTCCGGAGGGACAAAGCCCAGCCGAGTGTGGTGTTTGTTTTAAGGGTGGGGACATGCAGAAGGACAGCCCAGTGGGCATTTCTGCCAGGTGCACTTGGGAGCCAGTGTATCTGACCAGACCTTGACAGCCTCGGGCCCTCCGAGTCCGACCCTCGCCTCTGTGCTGTGCTCCCCTCCTTGACGGTCAGCCCTGCTTCCAGCCCCCACCTGAGCCCCAGCTCTCTGAGAAGCTTCCTGGCTGAAGCCCTGGGACTTGACGAGTTGGGAAGGCTGGGTTTCCCATCCTGACCTCCCAGCGTGGCAGAGACAGACATGGGATGGGGAATTCAGGGACCGGCCCCGAGCGTAACCTACTCCCTGCAGCCGACCACACTGGCTAAGTTTTCTCTTCCTGCCCGCCTTGCCTATTGCGACTCCGACTCAAAAATCCAAACTCACTGCCACGGAGTCGATGCCGACACGTAGTGACCCTACAGGACAGGGCAGAACGGCCCCTCTGGGTTTCTGAGACCCCCATCTCTTTACAGGAGTAGAAAGCCTCCTCTTTCTCCTGCAGGGACACTGGTGGTTTCGAACTGCTGGTCTTTGGGATCACAGCCCAGTGAGTAACAGGGCTCCACATGTTCAAGGCTCAAATTCCAACAAACTTGACTGCGCTTGTGAGGCCTAAATCCTGGAGTAGCCCAAGGCTGGCCCTGAGCTGCTGGCTGGGGGGAGGCAAGACTCCCTGCAGGGACCCTCCTCTTCCTGGCACCAGTAGGGGTCTGGGTTTGGAGGCGAGCTCCAGGGGGACCCCTCACCCCCTCCTCTGACTTCCCAAAGAGCATGGCGTGGACAGGCGAAGACCAGGGCTTCCAAAACTCACGTGTTTGTCGGGAATGGGGTCTGTCAGCAAGGAGACCCCCAGGGTGATGAGCAGGCTCAGGGTGAAGAGGATGAGGTCAAAGTAGAGGAAGTGGACGCTGCAGAGGACCGCCGGGCAGTTGGTGTCCTTGTTGCAGTTCTGGGGGCCATAGACAAAGTCGGCCGCCAAGCGAGAGATGCCAATCAGGAGTCCGCTGACCATCCCCCAGAAGGCACCCTGCCAGAGAGGGCCCAGAGTTACCCCTGAGGCCCGAAGGTGCCTGCGGAAGCGGGGGGAGGGGTGCTCGCCAGGGCCAACAGCTGGGAAGCCAGTAGAGGCAGCGAGCACGGAGTCCGCAGCTTCCCCTTGGTGAAGGACATCTGGCAAGTACAAACTGGCTCGGGGTTTACCGGACACAAGAAACACAACTGCTTCCCGAGACACGATTCCAAATCTGAGCAGCTGAGGTGCCTCTAAGGGACCCTGGTGGTGTAGTGGTTACGAGTTGGGCTGCTAACCATAAAGTCAGCAGTTCAAAAGCACCAGCCGCTCCGAGGGAGAAAGTGGAGGCTTTCTACTCTCCTAAAGAGTGACAATCTCTGAAACCCACAGGGCAGGTCTACCCTGTTTGCTAGGAGGCTATGAGTCAGCATCGACTTGATGGCTGAGTTTTGCTTGCTTTATTGTTGGTTTAATTTTTATCTGAGGGGGCTTGAAAACCTGGGGAAATTCCATTATCTTTGAAGTTCCATTTCTCCACCGACGTTTGAAGCCCCCTTGCAGAAGGATCCCTGTCGGCCTACTGGTCAAGCACTTGGCTTTGGCTGCTTTCCTTGAGGTCAGCGATTCAACCGGGCAGCTACTACCGATTAGGTCCTGCTGCTCACCACACCCCACCACCAATTCTGCAGGCTCTCTTTCCAAGAGGCACCTGGGAGCCAGCTCCTCCCACGCTGGGGTGCTCCACCCTGCCCATCTGCTGGCCCGATGAAGCCCACCTTCCCCACAGAAGTCAGCGTGACCGTGACCTTTGAAGGCGCACAGAAGAGGATGGCTCTCTGCACTTAGCTGGCCGCCGGCCGCACCTGGTCCCATCCCTCTCCCTGGGCCCATCCCTTCCGGTCGCCTGGCTGCCTTCCTACACCTCAGGCCTGCCCTTCTTCTGCATGGGTCTTTCCCTAGTTAGCCCTCCAGGGTTCAATTTCAAGGTCACTTCTGTTAGCAAATGAGCCCTCGTGGTGCAGGGGGTTAAGTGTTGGCAGCGGGCTCCTTGGGAAGAAGATGGGGCTATGGGCTTCTCTGAACCCCAAAGAGCGGTTCCCCTCTGTCCTGCATGGTTGAGATGTGTCCACATCGCCTGGACGGCAGCAGGGCCCCTATCCCACCCCTTGGCTCTTGTTCCTGCCTCATGTGTGTCTGCCTTGCCACCCTCCGCTGCTTGTCCCTCCTCAACAGCCACAACGGGGAGGCCCCGGCGGGATGGACTGGCACCGTGGCCGGAGCCACAGGCTGCAGCAGTTGTGAGGGTGGTGCAGGGCCGGGCTGGGGCCTGCTGTGGACCATGGGTGGCTGTGAGTCTGAGCCCACTCCAGGACCGTGCCACCAGGTCACTAAGGCAGCTTTCTCGATTTGCTCGCTGCGTGCCAGCTGTCTCTGTGGCTAGGTGCCATCAGACCCCAGCAGGGTCAGGACAATGTCTGCTATGTCACCCAGAGCCGAGGACAGGCTGGCGCATGGAGGGCGCTCGATGTCTGGGAAGTGTCTGTGGGAGTTGGAAAAACGGACACTGTTTTGAAAAGACTGTTCAGAAACCTTGGCTGAGACATGGCTACTTGGAGCTCCTGGGGCGGGGTCTGCATGATCAGGTTCAGAGTTCACCATGCCAAGTGCATCTGCCACGGCAGGTGGGCGGTAGACGCAGAGGTAGGCCAATGCTGACCAAGGCCCCTGTGAGCTGGGTACAGGCTGGCCCTTGGCTGAGAGCTGGAGCCTGGCCCAAGTGGGCAGGTGCCCAAGGAAACAGAGGAAGGGACAAGCTGACAGGCTGTCTTGGAGACATTGCGAGGTCACCCACCAGCCAATTGTCTTGGAGAAAGTTCAGAACCCTAAAGCTGGGGCAATGACCCATGGGAAGCCTTCAGTTGAGGAAGCAGGGCAGAGGGGCTCACCCTCGGGGACCTCAGGGACAGAGGTGGCTGGAGACATTCCCTGGAGATGCCGAGCACAGGTGGCCTGGGACCAGAACTGTGCGAGAGCTACTGACCAGACGCCTGTCTTCCTTAATGACAGGCCCCGCCCGACAGCCCTGACTAGCGCTTCGGAGCTCCGGCCACGTCTTTCCCAGGAGCCCCAGGGAGCAGCACTTGCACCCAGGACCTCTCGGTGCCTGGGGAAGCCCTGGGGAGCAGGGCGCTGGGCGAGATGAGGGGAAGCAGCAGAGGTAGGCAGGGGCCCGACTGCACGCCGCCTCAGTTGTCATGTTCCAGGACTGCTGCAGCCCCCCGCCCCACTCCCACCCCTCGCCAAGTAAGGTGATATTGGGGCGGTGGGGGTGGGGTGGTTAGAGTGAAGGACTGATGCACAGGGAAAAATTACTTGGGAGGACCCCACATTTTCACTGTCTCATGGATGCAAGGACAGAGCCTTTCAGTGGGGTCTTTGTCTCTGGTCTTAAGTGGGACAGGAAGAAATGATGGCCTCCTTACTGTAAGGACTGCACACACACACCCCGCCCCCCACCGCTGTGTCCCCTTTGCATGTGGGAGATCTTGGGACAGGATGTAGTCTAGGACAGGCGTGGCTCCCTCACTACCATCGAGTCCAGACAGACTCATAGCGACCCCATAGAATGGGACAGAAATGTCCCTGTGGGTGGCCCCATGTGGGCCGCTGGACATTGAGAACGGTCAATGCCCTGCTACGTTTCCTCTGACCTTGGATCCACTTGACTCTGCACCCACCAGCCTACGATCTTCCTGCTCCTTGCCTCGCCATTCTGGGTCACCAGCCTGGAGCTACGATGAGTTCTGAAGAGGGACTTAGGGTCCAGCGTTGGGCTTAAGGACTTGAGCTGGACTGGACTGGGATGCCTTTTGGATATAGAATTCCTCCTTGATAGCCAGCTCTTTCCTACTCACAGATAAGTGTCATTGGATTTGTTTCTCTAGACAACCTGGCCTAACACAGGACTTTGAAAGGCAGTTCCAGTGACGGTCAGGCCCCCCGTATACATTCCAGGTGGTGAAGACCAGTCCTCCCACTGGCCCTCGCCCGCCCTACGTCTGGAGTGGCTGTGCCAACAGCCACCTTCTCATTGACTCTCTTGCAAAAGATGGCCAGCAGGAAGACGGCAGCGATGGGCGGTGCCAGGTAGATGGTCAGTGACTGCATGTAATCCACTAGCAGGCTGTCCTGAGTCTTGACCTCAGCAGGGACCCAGACGAGGCTGACAGCAAGTAATAAAATCGTGAAAAACCTGTCAAAAGAAACCAACAGTTGGTGAAAATGTGACTGGCGATGTTCTCCCTGACAATCGGATAGCTGCAAGCCATAGGCTAGTCATTCAGTTATCCCTCAGGATAAAATGCTGGGGGCCTGTTGATGAATTTAGGGGCACAGTGGTGGCCCTGTGTATAACCCAAGTTAGAACCAGGATAAAACTGTTCCCCAGTGTTTCTGAGCTTGTCTGCCTTTGTGGAAGCAGACAGCCTCATTTCTCTCCTGCAGAGTGGCTGGTGGGTTTGAACCACTGACCCTTCTTCCAAACACTCTAAAAGAGGTCGTGTGCAGCAGATATGCCTAATGCAGCTGTCCTTTGATCTCCTGACTGCTGCTTCCTTGAGCATGGATTGTGGGCCCAAGCCAGACGACATCCTTAGTAACTTCCATCTTTTCTCTATGGATCATGATGTGACGTCTTGGTCCAGTTGTGAGGATGTGGGTCCTCTTTAGTTTGAGTTGTAATCCATACATGGGTGGCCGTGTGGTATTTGAAATACTGGTGGCCTAGCATCCAGCATCAGCAACACGCAAGCCACCACAAAACGACAGACTGACAGGTGGTCCAGGCACGATGACACAGGCGTGTTTTACCAGGTGGAAAATGCACGGTTTGCCAAGTCTCTTCATACAATAAATTTCCTCTATGCTGATCTATCAACATGATATATTCCTATACTTCGTAACACGGAAACATCCTTACACTTCAGATTCCGTGTGGTTAATGGATAGTTGTATTTTTGTCTCCTAACATATTTTTTGAAGCCCTGGTGGTGTAGTGGTTACAAGTCGGGCTGTGATCAGCAAGATCGGCAGTTCGAGACCACCAGCCGCTCCAAGGAAGAAAGACAGGGCTCTCTACTCCCACAGAGTCCCAGTCTTGGAAACCCACAGGGGCAGTTCTACCCTGTCCTATAGCGTCACCAGCTCAATGGCAGTTTGATTTTTTAATATCTTCTTTATAATGTTTGCATTGATGCTTATACGTGAGATTGGTCATTCATTTTTATATCTTATTCTATTTGTATTTCAGTTCTAACGCAGCCCTGGTGGCACAGTGGGAGGGTTATACGCTGAGCTGCTAACCACAGGTCCACTGTTCAAAACTGGCTGCTCCGTGGGAGTAAGACGAGGCTTTCCAGTGAAGAGCTAAGTCTCGGAAACCCACAGGGGCAGTCCTGCGCTGTCCCACAGGGTCGCGAGGAGTCACAATTGGCTCGATGGCAGTGAGTTTGACTTTAGGTCTTGGCCTTGGGCCTTGACCTCTGTGAACTGGGTCTCGGTCCTATTGAAAATTACCACGGGCTGCCAACGAGAACAGAGCTGTCTTGATGGAAGTGGTCAGAGTGCCCCTTAAAAGCAAGGATGGGGAGACTTCACCTCATGGACTTTGGACATGTTCTCAGGACAGACTGGTCCCTGGTAAATGACACCATGCTTGGTGAAGTGGCGAGGTGGCGAAAAAGAGGAAGTCCCTCGGCCAGCTGGGCTGACACAGTGGCTGCAACAATGGGCTTGAACATAAGGACGCATGTGGGGACGGCTTGACAGTACCCAACAGCTAAGACAACACCCGCATTGAAAGAAGGCTGACATCCGTTCATTTCTTGGAGGAGCGCTTGTTAAACTGGAAACAGGAATCACAATGTCAAGTTAAACGCAGACTCTACCAAGGCTGTTGCTGTCAGCGGCCCTTGAGTCAGCCCCCCTCCCCCCCTCCAGAGGACCCTGTGTGTCCCGGCGGGGGGCTGTGCCATGGGGCTTTCTGGGAGCAGATCTCAAGGTCACCTTTCTGCAGAGCGGCTGCCTGAGTCTAAACTGCCAGGCTTCCAGGCAGCAGTGAATTGCGAGGTGCTTACCCTGTCTACCACCGAAGACGAAGACAAACATGAGCTCAAACTCAAAGCCGGCAGGGGCAAGTGACAGGCACTTGGGCCCCAAATACCAAGAAGCTGTGTGGACAGCACATTAAGCACAGCTAGGGGGCTGGATGTGGCCACGGTCGGTCCAAAGGGACCCTCGTCCATCAGCAGTTGAAAGCTGGGGACCATGTGTGATAGGTCTGTGTGTTCCCCCACTCCAGGCCTGGCATGGAGCCCCGAGGCTGGAGATGACAGGTCGCTTTGCTTACAGCGTGGCCTCAGAGAGGCTGCGTCCTCCTCCTGAGCCATCGCGTGCCCTTCTGTACCAGGAGACCTGCTGCTGCTGCCATTGGGGTGCCAACGAGTCAGCTCCGACTCACAGAGCCTCGGGCATAACAGAAGGAAACACTGCCCAGTCCTGTGCCAGCCTCACCATCGTTGCTATGTGTGAGTCCATTGCTGAAGCCACCTCATCGACCCTCCCTTTGCCAAGCCTGATGTCCTTCTCCAGAGAGGGGTCCTTCCTGACCACACGTTCAAAATCTGTGAGATGAAAACTTGCCACCCTCGCTTCCGAGGCGCGTGCTGGCTGCCCTTCTTCCGGGGGTTGACAGAGGAGGCGTGGCCCGGGCACATCTGCTTCACAAGACCTCTTTTTAGAGTTTAAGAGCAAAGATGTCAATCTAGGCACAAAGTGTTACTTAATTTTGAGTTTCCCTGAGGACTATACAAGAATGCATAAAACTGGCCTCACAAGGACTATTGTGTCTGTGGGGGGGTGGGGGGTTAGATGATTTGATGACAACTGGACACTCTAGGCTAGGGGTGGTGTCAAACCTGTCCACCACCAAGTGGTAGCTGGATGGCACCTCTTTGGGAGGGGGGGTGGCCTTTTGGATGAGTGTGAGGACTCTGGGAACTGCCTCCCTCTCTTCTCTCTTTGCAACTTGGTCTTCTTCCTTGATGGGACTTCACTGGGAACCTGTCTGCTACCAGGGCCGGCCAACCCTGACAGCTGTCAGCCCACTGCCATATTCCCGCCGACCTCAGACCCACGCCACTCTGCACGCATGGCCTGTGCTCTCCTGGCGTGCCAGCTACTTGAATCTGGAGACGGCCCTGGTTGCGGACCCATGGACTTGAGTTGGCCTGGGCTGAGACGCCTCCTTGCTGGGCAGCCGCTTCTTGGCACACCGCTCTTTCTTGTACACAGATGAGCATCCCTGGAGCTGCCACCCGGCCTCACACAGCATCGATCACACGATGTTTCATTTTATTTGTTTTTTTCCCCTGTTTATTTATTTATTTTTT